GAACATCGTGATTGTGCTTGCCTTCGTATGTGGTTATAACAGCTTTTGGATCGTGTGACGCTCTCTCCACATGTTTTCTCACTGGGCATCCATTAGCCGTGCATTTGTAATAGCTCCTGCATAATGCCAATCAAAGATACATGAAATCTCCAGTTGTCAATCATTAACACATTTTAGCAGAATTCGTGATAGATGAGCATTCGACTTTCATATTCTAACCAAATCTGTATGTTACAAAAACAGAGTTATATTCAACAAACAAAGATACAGACTTCAATAAGTCTAGCACTAGTTCTTCGAATCATGCGTGTGGATGTGTATTTGAGCAGAAAGCAAGATTTTATTGATTCTGTTGAAAGCGCTTTGTACGAACCTGGGATTAGGGTTGCCTCTTACAACTTTCTGCCCATATTTACGCCACCTGTACCCATCATCCAATATGTCAACTTCACTCAGCGTTTGAACAACAACTCGAGGCTCTCTTATGGGTTTAACAAGTGGAGTTATTTCCATTGCTCCATCCAACCTCCTGCATAAAAGCCACAAGAAAGCATCCAGTGTGTGTGTGTCAAAACACAACTTCAATGCAAGTAACCTGAAACAGATGTTTTAGTTCTAATACCTTCGTTTTGAGAATGCATCATTGTCGTCCATGTCATCGTTATTCCTATTTGAGATTGCAACATCTCCACCATCGTCATATGCAGAGACAGGAGATACATCTGGATTACCGTTTTGCTCGACAGGAGGAGACAAGTTGTAAAAGCTAGATCCCTTCTCTGTAGAACAGAAGGAACAAATGAAGTTATTGATGTTGTTGAAGGAAAATAGTACAAATGCATCTCTAGTTTTATGTATATTTACCATCTCGGCCATTTAAAGAATGATACTTGTCCAGTCTTTCTTCTTGTGCCGGCATAACAAGACCACCAGAGTTGCGGCGACTAGGTTGAGGTTTAGGATGATCATGTGTTCCCTTGTATACAATCTCAGTAATCTGTCCATCGTGAGATCTTTCGAATAGCTTTTTCACTTCACAATTAGGATGAGTGCATTTATAATAGCTCCGTGGAAATTCACTTCCTTTGACGTGCTTTTGACCGTATTTTCTCCAGTTATATCCATCATCAGCCAAGATCGAGGGTGCAGTTCCTCTGGAATCGTTTTGGGATGTCTGGATTGACTCATCTGGATCAGATCTCTCGGACCCTGACAGTGTTGTCTGATGGGGAACAGTTTGTCGGCTTATCTCACTTGAAGAAGCTGCAGCCTCAGTGGCTGAAGATGATGGTGAGTGTTTGTAACTGTGACTTTGGCTTTGAAATTGAAGTGGCGCTTCACTTCTACGCTTGTCTAGCTCTGCATAGAACTTGAAATCAAAAAGCTTAATTAGACTATCACACACCAGAACACAAAACAATGAACAAGAAACCTATAATTTGCAACCAAACCAAATGTGTTACACAACTAAGAATCCAAATTTCATATTTTTAGACATTACCATATTAGATGCAGGAGGAGGTCTGAACTCAAATTCGGTGGACTTTTGGTCGTCCAAGATATTCTGATGGATTGCTCTCGAATTAGCATGAACTGGCTGAGGCTTGAACAATGAACCAGTAGTAGGGGATGGTTCTGCCTAAAAATTGACGAAAAATGTCGCATTGAAAAAACCCAAATCCGATAATTCGAATCGAAGCGAGCAACGATTGAAGTAAACAGTGAAGGGATCGAATTTCAGCAAAAACCCTAAGATCTTAAAATGCAATGAGAAACTATCTCAAAGGAAGACACGGTGAGTCGCTAGTACTACTAACCTTGAGGTTAGAGAGAAGAACCGGAGACTCGAGAAAGGAAGTAGGACTTAACCCAGGAGGAATAGTGATGCAAGTCGATCTCGAGATCGGGAGTTTCGCCGGAGACATCAGCTTATACCTGGCACCGCCGCCTCCGACGCAATCGGAATCGACCCGAAACTCCTTCCGATTGGGGTCCATTTCAGAGAGAAGGATATTAAGTTTTGGGTGTGTGTAAGTGAAGTGAAGATTGTGAGTGAGGTCAGGGAAGAAAGAAGTTGACTTCACATCTCATCCCTTTCTCTTGTGAA